GGACGTATGGACGAGTTTACTGCAACGCGTTTGGTGGCACCATGCCAAACCATGCTCCAGTCGAGTTGCTCCAGTTGTGCCGCTGCTGGCAACACAGCTCGTCCAAATCACCAACTAAACTAGTGGGCGGATCGCTTTTGGGGCGGAGTGCTTTCGAAGTCCTGCTCAGCAACCAGCGCACCTTTCGTCGTGAAAGCGCCACATCTCGCTTCCCTGGCACCCAAGTACTTGAGGGTTGATAGAAACAAGTCACTTCTTAAAGGAATCTTCCACGGACCATGGACCAGTGGGCGGGACCGGAAGTGGTTTTGCGACGAAATGCATGGTAGGTACGGATCCACGTTCATGGGAAGGTTTGAAGTGAATCCTGTTCACGTTCGTGCGTTCGACACGTGGATCCGTACCTACCATGCATTTCGTCACAAAAACTTCCGGTCCCGCCCACTGGTCCATGGTCCGTGGAAGATTCCTTTAAGTTCCAATTCCTACTACTCATTATCATCACTAACTTGATATCCTATTTGATTACAATTGTTTTTGACTACCCATGTTTTGGGTTGCCAAAAACAAAAATAGTGGTTCGTCTGAGTAAGAGGCGAAACGAACCACCTCTTATTCTTGACTAATCCTTTCCTAAATTCTTAATTGCTTAATGCAGCGCACATACTTTAACGCTACCCTCCCTATTTACCGTAATCGCTTTCTTTAGACAGGCAAATCATGACTTCGCGACAAAGGAAAGAGCTGCTCCAATTGAAAGGCAGCAAGCGTCGGCGTGCCGCTCGTTAGTATGCTCCCAGCGGAATATTGTAAGCTTGCAGGTTGCAGCTTTTCACGTCCCTGAATTGTATTCACTCGTTAGCTCACGTATTCGTTGTTTCCACAATACTTCATTATCTCGAGACAACGCGGAGAGCAGAGCCTTTTACCGCCGACTGCTCTTACCCCAAGCATAACCATATCAGCACTAAGAGAGAAAGAGATTAGAGATTTAGGGCTCTTCATATAACGGCTCTCTAACCAGTACTCAAAAAGGGCACGTTAATTGCTTACTGAGCGGCACACCTAACCCAAACCCCCACCCAACCCAGCGCGCGATCCTGACCTATGCCCTACTGAGGGCTTCATAAGATATTACGATTCGAGAAATGGAAACAAGGTGGAAGTTGTGTCTTACGCTACTGTCTTGTCTGAAAGGCCGATATACTGATTGTGATGAGCAATCTTCCAATCCAACATATTATGCAGTCCCAACACCCCCCATATAACTTCCGTATTGAGGCGTTGCAATTTGCGGCTTTGCTGAGAATCTATCAGGGCAAGGGATCTGGCGAAAGACGGTCAAACACTTGATCAACCATGGCTGCGCTTGCTGCACAGTTGCCTCGAGCAAATGCAGCAAGAACAGAAAAAAGAGACGACTGGCTCACGGACAGGTCACCTGCTATTGTTGGGTGAGGCGTGACTGAAATCGACGGAGTCATCACAAAGTTTTTAGTTAGTCGTTTGAAAGAAAATCGATTCAAAGATAGTTCAGAGACTCGTACGTGACAAACGACCGTAATAGTTCCAACTCAACGCTACAAAGAGGCAAGTCAGGAACAGGCATTCGAGCTTGTATACGACAATACTAACGGAAGGATGGGGTTAAAATCCAAAATCGCCATACGATTCAGAGATAGAACGGCGACCGAGAAGTGGGTGGAATGCAGCGTTGAGAACAAGCCACATATTCGTGGTCGATCTTGCTTGAAGGCAAAGGTCGGGCTCAGGCACGCTAGAGGAGTAAATTCCCGTGCCTGGAGGTTGTATGTGGGTAGCTGCACACATTGCAGCAACTTCCCACCCTTTGAAAAACCCCGTTAAGGCCCCGGGCGTTCGGTTTCAATCCAGGGCCGCCTGGTCAATCCAGGACCGCCCACCTCCGGAAGTGGTGCGTGGCTGGCATAACGTGTGAAATCAGCTAGGTGATTGCCGTATCAACCGATAGAACGACTGACATCTCCAGAAAACTTGTTTGTACGTGCCTCTTTCCCAAGCCAGCCTCTGCTAGTGGGAAAGAGGGTTTTGTTAACGGCCTTGTCGACGGTTTTTCTCAGTTTTTTCTCCACTGTCGTTCCACTTCGCATCTCTATACTCAGTTTCAATCGCCATAATACCCCCTTATTCAGCCCGACTTTTGCCTTTAATTAGAGAACTCTGGCTGCGTCGCTTCATGTCGCTGCAGAACGGTGTTGTGCGTGCGGCGCTAACTGGTATATATTAAAAACATATTAAAAACCTGGGCAAGGTCTGTGTAAGATGACTAGGGTTCCCGCTAAAAAAAAACTAGCGCCCCAGAATCAATAGCGCTTATAATTTCACTTGCTACTGTGTGCATGAATAGTTCTTTTCAAAACGATTCCCCGTTTGCTGGCCAAACAGTGCTTTCCAGTCTGACATCGATTGATTATTCCGCAAATATTCTCCCATGAACAAAGCTTTTCAAAAACGCCAAATTCATCACATGAACCCTTCCACTACTACGCGAAAGCACAACACCACAAACACAGAAGCCGTCATACCAACAGCACTTATGCTTATAGTTAGCACAACAGACATAAGCAGTGTGGAAGTAGCATCATATGCCAAAATTGCGGTTCAGGCAATGACGCCTTTTCACAACATGTCGCTCCATCAGAAAAAAACTTCTAGCAATTTTTTTTCAGATTCAGTCGTCTTTGACATTCAGCTTTCCTTGCCCGGCCACTGCTCTCTCACAAATTCAGTTCTGTGCTGCCAGAGGTGTAGACCATTCACAGTGCTGTGAAGCTGCAGGCATTTCACCACAATGTCTCTTGTTCTGTGACCAGGTGAGTAAAATTTACGGCACAGGTGCTCTATGTCACCGCTTAAATTCTAGCCTTGATACCTAAAGCTTGACCAGTTCTGCTTAACATCCATGCAGCTGTAGTGGATAGGGGTAAATTGTTCTGCACCTTGAACTTCCGATCTACTCATTCTCACCAGAGTTGCAGCGCAATTGCACCTCCTTCGATTCAACTTTTATTGGTTAACCTACCAAGTCGGTGCTGTCTAAGCGCGCTTACAAAAGGACATTACTGAGTTCGTTGTGTACGCGCCGACCGAATCGTATGTGCCGGGAGAAAATCCTTTCTCAGTAGTCTTCCCATTCAAAGGCAAAGTTCGGCTCAGCCCACCCTAAGAAGCCCTTACCATGGCTAGAAGTGCTGGGTACGCAAGTGCAAAGGTAGCGCCACCTTTCTACATCGAAACGCGTCACTAGGACCCTAGGCGCCATGGACTTCTAACAGACTCCACCAAACTTAACATGGTCCGCCCACCGTTCGATATCTTGTCTGCGTCGCTCGCATTATCTCTCATCTGCCTGCCTGTCTTTTAAACTTCTCCACAGCATAGAAAGTGCTTGCATTTCCTGTGTCCTCCAGGATTTTCTTTCCTTTTTTCTCCATTGGCGATCCATCTCCATCCCTACTTTGAACATTTTAGTGGAATCAACCAAATCAATTTAATCCCGATTCTTGCCTTTAATTCAGGAGTAATGGGTCGTTAAAGTGAGCACTCTATCTAACTCTTCATGATTTTTTTGTGACCGTAGCATTTTTAAATGAAGCGTTCTTAGCGGCGCGCCGGACCAAAGCAACGAGTTGTCGTTCTCTCATCTTCAGTGCTTGGACCGCTTTGATAGCATGAAGGACTGCTTCATCGAGCACGCCATCACTGAGTACTACCGCGAAAAACAAAGTGCGCACGATAGCCTTGATAAATCCTACCAGTTATAACTGCTAGGACCCTTAAATTATAATCTGTTATACTTTTTTTCGGTTCTTTTATTTTTTCGCTGAATTTTATTGTTGAATAAAGTTTTATGGAGACCTTGTAGTAGTCACACTAACAGATCTCAATATCAATTCAAATTTTCCACTTACAAGGGAACAACTTTTTTTTTGGAAAAATTGCTCTGTCTATTCTGTAAAACCACAATTTCCCTACATGCTTTTCACACGTATTTAATTTTCTCCTATGGAGTCTTTAAATTAATATTACATTTCTTCCCTCGGGTGATGACGTAAGGAAAACAACAGTCAGACTTTCAAAAAAAAGGTGCAAAAATTGTCGAACTGTTGAATCGCGCTGGTATACAGTCCGGGACACTTGGCTACAATCTTTTCACGGATCCTGCAGGGTATGAAGCTATAGATAACCCTAGACGTTGTTCTTCGCTTTGTGACTGACAAGGGAGGTCTTCAGGGCAAGTCACGCTTTTTCAAAACGGTTTCTTGCATATTGTAGGGACGCATGTAGGGAACACAAAACCATGTTTCATTTTCGCTGAACGGTTTTAGCAGTACCAAAAAAGAAGCATAAGGTACTGTTAATGGTTCGATCCCCGTGGCAACTATTAGGTTGGTAACTTTGAAATGTCGTTTTTGATCAACGATTATTTTAAGTATAAAAGCTATATCCAAAGCTTATCAACCTAATTTATTTCCTCCATGTGTGTCATCCACTCTCACCTTTTGTTATGCAAAGCATGGAGGTCTACCTCGTAGAACTCTTCCAGGTACGACTCGAAGAAGTTAGGTACTCAAATTTTGACGTCGTCGCGGTTATTGAATTTATTTGCTGCTGAGGAGCGCTGCATTGACCTGGGTCAGTGATAGTTGGACGGCGCCAGATCTGAGCTATATGGCGCGAGAGGTAGAACGTCCCAGCCCAACTCCTCGATTTTTGTTGCGTGATTTTCGCGACATGTGGTCTGCGTTATCGTGCCATAGTTTTATAATGGCCGAATTTACCCCTTGACGACGCAGAGCTCGGTCCACGCGGGCTGGCTGTTGTGCGCAGGTTCAGCTGTAACTGTCTGACCAACAATCAGCTCTCCATAGTGGGCCAGTCCTATACTGTTTCACCATGCACGAGCAGGACTTTTTCTCCGTGGATGTCCAGTTTCGAAGTCATCCTCAGCTGTCCATCTGCTCCCAACCGGCCATCTTCTCACTTTGTTATCGGGGAACATCCTTTGTAAAGTGCGCTTACAACGAAGTCAGAACCTTCTTCTCTTGGAGTTATGGAGCAGAGTTCCAGTATTGGCAACCAGTACTGCTTGCTCGTGTCGCTCAGAATAGGCCGAACCCATTTTCTATCCTGAAAGGCCTTAACAGTCGCACGTAGAAACTTTTAAATTTTTTGTTGACACAGCTGAATCTCCCTGCAAGTTTCTGTGTAGTTTGTCGAGGACTCAATTCGTTGGCTTTCTTTATTCTTCATTTCTACAGGTAGAGGTCAAATCCACGCTCTTCGTCCTCAGGTCCTTTACCTCAGTCTTGGAAGAGCTGAAACCATAGCTGAAAGTGCACCAGAGACTAAGTGTTGCTGCTCAATGTTTTGCACACAATGAGTGGATTCGTTGGCCGTTTTTCCTTGCTTGAATATATACGCTCAGCCGATGTTTTCTGATCAATCATCTCCGCTCACTGGGCCTAAGATTTCGCAATATGCGCGCTGAATCGCTCTCTCGAATGAATGGTCTCCCATATTACGAGGTTGTGTTTAAGCTGAGAAACAAAGCACAAAAGGAAGCGACATTTCAAAGTTACCAACCTAATAAATTTTGCATTTGGGTTGGCGCCTACGGGTTGGTGCCAAATCGCGCTAAATATCAAAATCAGATGTCAAATTCATCGTCAGGACCATTTTGAAGCCAACAAGTGGCCGCCAACCTTGATTGCAAAATTTAGTCGCCGCGGGGATCGAACCATCAAGGGTATCATTCACCACTTTTTTGATACTACTAAAACTGTTTAGCGAAAGCGAAACATGATTTTGTATCTCATACATGCGACCCTACAATATGCAAGAAACCGTTCCCAAAAAGCGCCGCTTGCCCTGAAAGATCCCACACTGTCGTGACGGTTCCGTAAGACTTCTAGCGCATATGTAACGGCCGTCACGTGTTCGCATCTTACATCGCGACGCCAGTCAGCCCACGACCGATCTTTGAAAGGGGCGCAGTCGTCAGGGTCGCAGCTAAGCTGGTCGACACGCGCAGGGAAGGATTGGCCCACGCCACTTTTGGGCCTGGAAGTTTCTACGAGTTCAGTCGTCTCCTCGTCGTCATCGTGAGTCGTCGTCTCTTCCTTCGTCCTGCCCGGTCGTTCCTTACCATCATCCCCTCACCTGTCATCGCAGTGCATGGTACTGCCGTCCTTCGTCCCTCGTCCTTTGTCCCGCATCTGATTCCATCTCGAGCGCAGCTGTCACTCCAGCGCAGAAGACAATGGACGCAGTGGTATTCGCTAGACGTTCTACGAGCGCCGTCGTCCGTCCCCCGGACGACCCTTGGGGCGCAGCGCACTTCATGGAATGGACACCTTGGACAAGGATCTGTGGTATGGAAGACAGGAACCTTCACTCCTCTGTGCTCCGCGCCCGGACGTGACGAACGCACCCCGGCTAACGCGCAGTGCATGAGTGAAGGGGCTCGAGGCACCGATGGCCCCTAATGAGGCGAGGAAACCATCCCGTAGGTTTAAGGTCATAGGTTTCGTAGATTGTGTTTATGGCATAAAGCCCACTTCTTTATTTGTGTCCTGTTGTGTAGCAAAAGTAGAGCGCAGTAGTAAGCGCAAGTATTTCTTCTTTCTTTACATGTGCAATTCTTTCGCAGTGGCCAACATCTATTGATCGCAGTTGCCATCGCTAACAATATTAGCGCTATACGATCAATATCGCCGCAGGTGGTTACGAGCGCAGGTGTCGGTCACCATCTTGGGAAGGTGGAGTCAGGTTATAGCGCAGTGTCATCTTCTTCTAAGCGCAGTGGACTTCCAGCAGGAAGGCAGGATCAGGGGCAGCGGAGGATGAGGACCGCAGCTACGTGGCAGGCAGAGCTAGGCGCGTGTCCCTCCGCACATCATCTAAAATCACGGCACCGGGCTGCAAGCCACTTGTACGTCATCTTGCCCCAGGCTTGCCGCACCGGCGTCGCGACACCACACTTGTAAAATAAGCATCGTATCGCATGAGAAAAGCACGATTTTACCAGGCTGAAAAAGTATGAAAAAGAAAAAGTGAAGTAAAAAAGTTGTTTAACCCTCCCAAAACTTTTCATTGAGAAAAAACTGCTCCCCACCCTCCACCATAAGTCGTTCAACGAGTAAAAGTAGTCAAGATAACAACGAGTCCTACCAACAAACGGAGCAGAAAACGACAAACTAGTCATGAAAAATGGCATACTGTGACAGCATCTATCCTCTATTTATTCCCTTTGGAAAGCTTACCAAATTTTGGTACTAAACAGAGTAT